GCTGTCAGAAGACAGGAGCCTTCGACCACGCCGTGATCCCGCATTGCTCAGATCCCCACATTGCCCGTTTTCCCGTCACCCCACTGCTCAGATCCCCACATTGCCCATTTTCCCGTCACCCCACTGCTCAGATCCCCACATTGCCCATTTTCCCCGTCGCCCCGCAGCTCGCCCAGAGCACTCTCTGCCGCGCTCGGCTGGCACAAACTGGAAAGCTGACAGGCTGTCACCACACTTCACTGTTTCTTCAGGAGAAAAAAGAGGACGCAAGCGGAGTTGCAGTGTTCTCATTAACACATTGGAAATGAACATTTCCCTGTCAGCAATAAAGCAGCTTTGCTGTGAACTGACGAAGCCCGTACAGGCTCTTAAGCAGCCACAGCGCGGCCCAAGTGCGATGGTAGCATCTGAAGCACACACTGCCGAGCAGAACAGTTATATTCAGACAATTAAAATGACATACCGGCTAATGTATCTGGAAGACCGGAGCTCTCATTTCTGTTTTTATTTCTTTCTGTTGCAGGCAGTCGTGTAAAAGTCAAATGAGGAAGGTGTCACACAGGACAGAGCATTTATGCTATGGTTCATTACAGGTTCTTCTCCCAAAACTGCAACACCACAACTCAGAAAGAAAACAACCCCAACAAAACCCAACACAAACCCCCAAACCAACCTCTACTGTTCACTGCACCTCACCCTTAATTTAACCTTACTGACAAAATGATGTCTAGAACCACTAACATTACGCCCAACAGTGTAGAATATTTGATCAAAACATTCTTACTACGTTTTAGAAGGACACTGCTGCAACTCAGTGGCTGTATTTTTCCAAGAGCTTAACTTGAAAAGTTAATTTCTCTGTAGAATGGCAATATAAGATCATCTTTCTCCCCCAGTTTTCAGTTATGGTTTGGAGACTATCAATCAAGGTCTCAAAGGTCTTAAATTTCTCGGCAATACAGTATTTGAAACATCTGTATGCAACAGAGGTGAAGCTCCAAGTTAGCACCTGTGCCATGAAAAAAGGAGTGACTCAAGAGCACAACCTACAGCTCACCACTCGGGATGGACGGGCAGTTTTTAAAGGCTAACAGGAGGCTCACCAACAGGTACTTTAATGTAAGATTGCAGAATTTCATGTTAAAAACTAAAATCGAACGGTTGCTTGTGTCTTCTTGCATGCACAAATAATTTATAAAGCAACTAATTTAAACAGCTTTATGATTTAGGTCAACATTCTGTAGCCCTCAAGTACAAAAATATAAATACAAACTGTTTAAACAGTATCTTTAATGAGATTCTGGCAGTAGTTTTTTCATCTAACGAGACACATCACGTAACAGGTCTGCCACTGAACTTGCTTAAGAGTAAAATCAGCTTCAATATGAAGCTGTTATGGTATCAAAACCCTGCTTTTTACATGCTAAATATCTTCAGCAAGTGTGCACTTAACACAGCAATGAACTGAACTATAAGAATAACTAAATACATACATGAAACTCTTCATGTGGAACGTAATTCATAGAACTGGTTACAACAAACGATTACCTGCATTTCGTTAATTTAAAAAAAGGTACAAATCATGCAAAGCAATTCTAAAGATAATGCAAAGAAAGCTACCAGTGTTTGCAAAAAGTGTTCAACTAAACCAAAACTCCTTAAATGAAAGACACATATTTACTAGCAAAGACCTATCACTATTTCAAAGAAGCGGAGGTAAAATCTTCAGGTTCTGAGTGTCAGCTATACCGCAAGATGTCATTGCTCTCGCTTAATGCAGAAGCACATGCTTAGAAGCCCAGAACTGCGTGCCTGGAAGAAGTCTGTTGACAATAGTTCTGGCTTCCCTAGAATCAGAGATGCTGCATGGAGTAAAAATAGCAGAGATTTGCAAGAATCAAAGGCAAAGGCACCCTATTCAGTTAGCCAAAACGGTAGCATTCCCCTTCTCATAAGCGTGAAGACAGCAATGGGGCAGATGATAAACATTTCTACAAAGGCAGCGTTTTAAATGTTACCATTAATTTCCCACTTGGTAAATGCCATTAATTAGCAGACACCAGCTTGTAATAGTTTATGGATAATATTACCCCGCAGGATGAACTTGGGATTTTATTTGTCCTGATTTACAAAGAGACTATTACTAATGCTTCAAAAGACTACTTTTACTATGTAAAAAGTTTAACTCTTCTTTTTCAATACTTAACACCTCAGCTGGACTACCATCTCACGTTGTTTCAAACATCTAACACTGCTTACTGGAATTTTATAGAAGTTGTACCTCATGTATTAAGCAGCAGGCAATAACAATGGTCTTTCCCAGCACAGCTGCATCTGGCTGGCTACTGAAAGATTAGAAGTATTTCTAAAACACAGGAAAACTCATGCAGTTTGGTAAAGTTTGCTTCATTTCACAGTTTAAGTTTCCTTTAGTCATTGCACTTCTGTTGATAGTCTTGGTTTTTAAAAAATTTTATTCCGAATCCGAATTTGAACCAGCAGTCTTCTTTTTCTTCTTTTTACCATGTTTCTTGTGCTTCTTCCTCTTTTTTGTTTTATCCTAAAGAAATAGTAAAATAGAAGTTATTGTATAACAAGATTGCCATTTCTTCAATTCTGCTAATGCTAACTAAGAGCACAGAAAGGATATCTATACAAAGATTTTTAAAAAGGGATTTCTATAAATGCCTACTGAGAAGTCACAGAAGGAAAATTTGTATTTTGCCCAGTAATTTGCAGTATTATAAGCAGTCTTCAATTTATCTCCATCATGGTCTGGCTATTTCACACCTCTCATGACTGTTTTATATATTTCTGAGAGAGTAATAAGGAAGTGCTTTGACAAGAAGTGACATCTTACACACGTGAGAATAACTAGGATATTTACATCTTTTAAAGTAAATGCTTTTATTTACTGTGCAAAATTAAATAGTTCAACTACACTTGCCTAGAATTTCCAGCACTCGCACCTCACTTAAAATGAAAAAACTGTGATCTCAATTGTAAATAGGAATACACTCAGTTAACCCCACTGGGATTCAGTCCTTCAAGTGATTATCCTGATCACGGTAATACAGAAGCTGAGAGATACAACCTTGCCTCTTTGCAAGCACAGTTCTTGAATAGGTGTGACATTACGTAAACAAAACAGTCTTGGCATAAAAGTTCTGTTCTAAACATATTACCTATACATACAATTCTTCTAAGAAAAACCTCACAATCAGGTACTAGAAAACCTATGGCCAACACCTTATTAATTATGAAAAAACAAACAAGCTCCATGGAAAACGAGTATCAAGTCTCACCGATACTCCCACGCTTGTACTTTCAGGTGACTAATGTAAATGTTCCTTTCACCCTAACTCATCTAGAACATTTGAGGCATCTAACTAGGAACCCTGCTGCTGACAGGGCAGACAGCAGCCGCACAGACACCCCCAGCGGGCAGTCAGGACCTGCGTAAGGCTCCTCCAGCTGAGGAGCCTCAGGCACCGGCGATCAATCGGGGTTCTATACAGATCACAGCTGAACCTTCCTCTCACTTCTCTACCAACAGACACAAATCTTCCACATCAACAAAAGTAACAGGTTGCTCCCGGCTTTTTATCTGGCTACGGGCAGGTGCTAGTGCAGATGCTGTCCCCTCCGTGGTCTGGCGGAGGGGACTTGCCGAAGAAGGACTATACACAGCACTGCTGAGGGAGAGCGCTGCCGCCTGCCCAGCAAACTGCTCGCCTGCCCGGTACCATACAGGTGCCGGTAGTTCTAGGGCGAAATACATGCTACAGTAAGTGTTAAACTCACACAAATCTCAAATTGCATATACCTATATAGGTAAAACAGTGACAAATCCTTCCTTTAATTCAACAATTGAAAAAGCGACTTCAGCAGGTAAACAAAGAAATTGTTAATTCAGACAGTTAATCGTTAATTCAGACAGTAGATTTTTGCTATAAAATGTGTATTACTGAAAAATGTGAAACTGGAAAATAACCAAGTACGGAGTATTTATATCCTAAATCTACAGCATGAGTAAGAGGGATACTTGCTGTTTTCTCTTTTTCCTCATTATTTTTCTTCTTTTTTGCTTGCACCTAAAAAAAAAAATTTAAATTGAATGTAAACGGGAGAGCAGCTTTGGAGATGCTGTTTTAAATAAGAGTTTGAGCTTTTGTTGCAAATAAATGAATGATGGCAAAAGAGAACAAATAACCCACGAAGAAACACTGATTACCTGTTTTATATTCTAAAATAGGCATTATCCTATAAACATCCAATTTGGGAACACACTCTGCTTTTAATACACAGCAGAACAACAGCAGAGATACAAAAGTGAAATAACTAAGCTAATTATGTGACGAAAATTCTTAACGAATGCAAGTCTTCAAAGCAGATATACACAGGGGTGACAGATTATTAAATCCAGTGTTTTTTTTTAATTCCCTTGAAAAGGGACCCAAAAATCTTTAGTCATCTTGAAATCTGCCAACCTATTCACAAACATCAAAGGGAAATCTTGTGAAGGATACCACACCAATCACTTAGACTTATTTCATTGAGCTGTGAAACATGCATAAAAAGTTGAAAACTTTAAAGAAAATTAATTTGACTTGTAGGTGATAGCTGTGCTAGGCAACTCTTAGTACAAGTTTTTAATAAAGAGAAAGGTACAAACAACTCTGAATGTGCTGCACTCTTAAATTCAGCTGCACAGAGCAGACAGGTTTCAGCAATATATTAAATCTAAGATAGACTGTTCATTCCCTCATGCAAATCAGTAAGCTAAAAGCATTGTGACACCTGACACAGGTTTTGCACTGACCTCCTCCGTCTGATCTGATTCTGATACGGATTCAGATGATAAAGGTCCATCACCACGATCAGCTTTTTTCCGTTTCCTGTGGTGATTTTTGCCTTCCTACACAAGGTAATACATCTGTGAGTGAAGTCAACCCTTTCAAATCTTATGAAATTTCTGCTTAAAAGTTAGATTAAAATACTATTTCCAAGTCGTGAAATATTTTTAAGTATTGTTGATATTAAACTAATTACTCATCATCAACAAATTCCCTACTAACTGTTAAAATGCTTTCAGTGGAAATAAGCTTTTTCTGTACATACTGCTTTTTCGTTACCAAGATACAGCAGCCTTCTAAAAGTGAGAGGAATAATCTCCAGTATAGACACTTATTTTAAATAACACATGAAGAAGTAAGCACTTGAAAATAAAATGTTTCACTCCTTTTAAATACTAAGTAAATGAAGATGTCTCAGTATGCGCATATAAACATTGCAGCTTCAGAATCCTGCTTTGCTAACGCAATTAAAAGAAAAAAACCTCCCTCTCTATTTGTGCCTAACCAGGACAGGCTGTTCCTGCCAGCTGCACTTCTACACTCCATATATATACTTGGTATATTTAAAGAAAAGTCTTTTTTTAAAAAATTATTTTTAAAATTTTGATGCTGCATGAGATTGTTCTGATGAGCTGCTTCCCCCCACACCTTTCTTTTGCTGTGGACCAGGCAGTGTGTTCCCAAGACTGAAGCTACCTTCTTTCATTCAATTTCTAAGGTTAGAAACTGAAAAAAGATGCTGCTCATCATCTTCTTGCAAGGTGGGATCTCGCATGTAAGCTGTGTTTGGTCTGTTACAGGTACCTCAATCCTTTCCCAAAGGTACTCATGAGAAGTACACAGGATGCAGCCCGCTGGGGAGACGGGGGTCTTCGGGTTGGGGGAGACCTCTAGTGCCCCAAAGCCCTTTGCTTTCAGAAGGCGTGTGAAAGCAGCACTACAACAAGGGGCTACGGCACACACTTGGTCTTGGAAGAGAAGCCACCCAAAGTTAAAAGGAGTTGGTGGGAAATGGACACTATAAAACAGAAGCAGGAGGAAGGCAGGAGGGGAAATCACCACGTTTGCCTTAGGCAGTGGAGACGCGGTACCAAGCCAGCGCTGCTGACTGGAGTAGCAGAGGCCAAGGCGACAAGAAAGGGAACTGGAGAAAAGGACGAGGGTGGACTCTCAAAGCATTGTTACTTTACACACAGGGTGGAAACAACTAAAATTTAAGTCATCAAGATTATCTGCATTAAACAATAGAAGGAAAAAGGTCTTCATCTGTGTACAGAAAGGTTAGGTGGTAGGAAGGAGGGAGAGTTTTTATGTTCAGAGAGAAGACAGATTAAGGTAATTTTTTCTTAAGCTAATACCTTTTTCTCTGCAGTCATAAGTACAATATCCATAATCATGACTACAGTTAGATAAATATATCCTCTACTTGATATTCCTTAATTTACAGCAACAAGCCAGTATCCCACCAGGCACGCCACTGAAATATCATCACACACTGTTAGCTCAGTGTGACTGCCCAAGATGAAACCCAAAATACTAGAACACAGCTGATCTACTACAGCAGATTAGACACTTTTTCATTTGCCTTCAGGACAAGAACAGATCCAGCAGCTTCCACTAACAATCATTACTAGAACAGGAGCCAAACCCAACTAAAAGCCTGCCTCAAACTGCTGGCACTGACCACCTGACTGCGTAGTTTCAGACAGAAAATTTCCACAGGTGTAAAATTGAGGCATTCAATATTAAAAAATTAAAAAAAAAAAAAAAAGGAAAAAAAGAAGAGCCCCATTAAGTGTGTAAAACGCAGTTCTGAGGTAAGTATTTCAAGAGTAAAAATACCTTCTCTTTTTCATAATCTTCCTTTGACCTTTTCTTTCTCGTGGTGTCCTAAACAGAAAGGAAAACAAACCATGACAAAATTATTTCAGGAAAAAGGCAGAAATCCCCAAAGCAGCCTGACTATTCTTTATTCTGTCTGTTGAAGGTCGTTCTTCAAAGTTGTTCTTTCTACTCTGCAGTTAACAGGAAAAATATGAAAAAGCCATAAATGTGGACATAGCTCTAATTTCCTGAACCAGGAGTGTGAAAAGGTCTGTACGGAATCTGGTAAGAGAGGACTTGCAGTACTCGTCGGAGCCTCTGGAAAGGACACCAGCTATCACCACGTATAACATATGTCTAACGTACAACAGTTCGGAGTCTTTATTCTCCATCTGTGCCCATTTTTTTTTGCAGGGCTTACGCAGGAATTCCACACTTTTCTGCCTTCCAGCTTCAGCACTAAGGTACCTCTGCGTCCTTTTACGTGGCAACAAACCCCCAACATTCTGTGATTATTTTTTAAGCATTAATGTAGTATTAAAACAAAATATTTGAGCAGCACAAAAGCTGCATATATCTGAATTCAGAAAAATAGCTTAAAATTGCTGGAATAAAGCATGTTCATTATGTAAATATCAAATTATATCTGCCAGGCATTGTGGCCAGGGGAGGCAGATTGCATCTGAAGCATACAAACACAGCTCAGCTACAACAAGAATACACGGCTTTAAATTTGGAAGATAAAATCTTGATATGCAAAAGTCAGAAATGTTTATGTCCATATAACGTAGATCAAGAGAACTTCCCAAGGGTAACATGCCTGCACATTTACCTTGCTGTCTGACTCAGAATCAGAAGTTGAGCTTGCTGAAGATTTCCGTGAGGAGCGATACTTCTTTTTCTTCCTTTTCTTCCCTTGTTTTTTATCCTATCCACAAATATTGTAGGAAAAAAGAAAAACACAACTCTGAATTTATTCTCACTACAATGAAGACTCACATTAAATGTAAAGAATAGGGAACACCAAATTCCTACATGTCATCATGTTCTCTTGAGGAATAAAGTACACTACAATTCATTCTTTTAGTGAGGGACCTTCATAATTCTTCTGCACTGAAAAAATGTAAACTGGTGAAAATCCAGGTTCTCTAGACTGTTTATTATTTAGATGGTGTGCTGCAGAATCTGATTATCTGTAACAAAGATTCTTCCTAAAAAGTAAAAATGGTATATTTGCATTTTTATGACAAAACACAAATGTTTAAGTCAGCCACCTAAAATCTACAGTGTTCATAAAGAAATTCTTGAGCAGATACACACATCTAAAATTCACAACTTCATTGTATGTACCACATGCATAGAATTAAACGGTTCTATGTAAACCGAGCTCTCAAATAATATTCTAACGTGTATTATGAAAAACTGTGTTAAATAACCTCCACAAACAGAACACATTAAGATTCTAGTAAGTTAGTTCTTACCTCGTCTTCTGAATCAGATGAACTGCTGGAAGAATCAGAGCTTGATGAAGAAGAGGAAGATGAAGACAACTTGACCAAACACAACAAAAGTGAAGCTTGTGAGATGCAGCATTTTGTCTGGCAAATAGTCAAAGGTCTATCCAAACACTCCCTTTAAAATTTCTTCATTTGCGAAGTATTATCAATGGCATTAAACTTCCAAGAAGCTGGTCTTACATAGATTTTCTAAATAAAACCGTACAAAGTAACTTCTAATATTTTTCATTTAGTAATATGTATTTAACGCTCTTTTCTGATAAGCAGAAGTAAATTTCTCCTTGTACCAGATATATGCCACCCCTCTCAAATAAAAATAAGTTAATTTAACAGCTACATTCAAAATTACAGCTATAATCTCGCTTTTTAAGTGAACCTAAATGACAAATAGCAACAACCTCAAAGCAAAAGAACCTCAGAAAAATGAAAATTTTGCTCACCCTACTAGATTTCTTCTTTTCCTTCTCCTTTTTCTTTTTCTTAAAAATAGAATAAACCAAATGTTACTTTGCATCATGCTCTTTTTTTCATGCATTTTGGTTTATGTACTTCGATGCTGGCTTTGAAAATGTATTTTTGACATTCTGTATCAGCAGCATCGATGACAAATTCAGTTCCAAACTGTATGAAACTGAAAATAACTTACCTCTTTCTTTTTGGAGGAACTCTCATTTCCACCCAGTAACTTCTCCCTGTGTTTTTCCAGTTCTTTCCTCCAATTCTGAAAACAAAACCAAACAGAAATAGTGACACGAGTATAATTTCCCAACAGCTTTTTTCACGATACCTTTTTTGCAACTCTGTCCTCAAACATTATAGTTTTCACAAACCCCACAGAAAATACACAAGATATAATGTTAACCAAGGCTATGAAGCATTTGATTTTTCAGATTAATACTGCAATACCATGTTAGTTCACACCCTGACGTCCAAGTTATTTGGATGTAAGAGACTATCACTCATCTTGAAGGCCATCAATTACAGTATTTTTGGTTTTGTATCACAGTGGTTTTTTTGCTAGAGCACTTTAGAAAAACCGGTATTTTGTCTTAGTTTTAAAATCACCTGAAACAAAACTTCAAGACAAATTCTCCTGGTCCTTCTTTGACATGTGGGTGTCTCTAGTGTCTGTTCTGGGCCTCACTGCTGTCAACAATGATTAAATTATTATACACATCGTCATGGAAATTCTCGTATTTTTTTTAGGCCAAGCACACTGCACAGATAAAAGTCTCCTTGTGTTCCTCCTTGTTAATCCCTCACGGGGTCTCCAAGTCCACCTGAAATCCTCCCTTCAAGAGCTCTGAAAGCTCCAACCCACCCCTTCGGACTGAAAAGCTGCGAGCTTCAACCTGCGTCACTCCCGCCTGCTTTGCCAGACACATCATGTGCGTCCTTCTCTATTATCGTTATTCTTCTGGTCCTGCCTTTCCTCGCCATGAAGCTGTATCGGTATAGCATTGGCAAAGCAACAACAATCCACCTATCGTGCTGAAAGGACAGAAATACCAGGAATTATATAAGATTATCGCTGTGCAGTACAGTGTGGGGGACGGCAGCTGGACTGCTGGTAACCTGGCATTGGTTGAAGACATTGACCTTGACAAATTCCCAGTGTACCCTTAAGATGGGAAGTTGTGGGCACTGAGTTTGGACACGTTTGCGGAACTTTCTCCCTCAACATCCGGGGGGATGAGCCCAGCCAGAAGCTGCTAATTGTTACCCAATTAGAATGTGAAAACCAAGTGTTTGACCTATAAGCAAAGGCCACGCTACCTTCTTCTAGTACCTTCGACTATGTATAAAAGGCACACCCTTTCTGTAATAAAGGAGCCATTTTGAGCCATTCTAATACCATTCAGTTGTGTCGTGTCCGTCTCTACAACGACAGTACAGCATGGGACACAGATCCCCAGGTCAGCGCGCTGTGAATTAGCTGACCAGCGCTGTGGAGCACGGCAGCAGATCGGCCGGGGCACGGCACCGTGCCTCGCGGGTTCCCACAGTCCAAGGCAGCACCACGCAGCAGGACGGTTGTGACCTCTGCTGTATGACCTGCCCACAGCTGCCCAAGGGGTCTCTAGCAACAGCCTGTGCTTTACTGGGCAGGTGGTCTCTTTAAAATATTTTAAGACTGTGCTAGTGTTATGTTTTAAACAAAAAAGCGTAACATCTGTCAGTAAAACAGGAGAGAGGGCATCTCACTCAGAGACTTGTCATCTTTTCAGCTGTTTAGAGTTCTGTCCCTAGGAGCTTAGCGAGAATTCATGGCCATTTCCTGAGTCCCTGCATCCCTTCCCACCCTTGTGCCATACTGAAGGGCTGGTTCCTTCTATTCATGCTCATTTCAATTATTTCATAATAAAGCAAAGATAAAAGCAGGAAAGGAATATGATAAAATACTAGACCAAACTCACCAAGCTAAAACTCACAGAGTGCAGAACAACTGATCCTCTCAGAATAGCATCCTGTGACCCTCTGAATACCATATAACTTCTTGGGCCAAAAGGTATGGAACAGTACTATGGGTACCATGCCCTTCCAGTAACAGAGAAAGAACATAATCTACTTCAACCAGAAACTCAAGCACAATGATGAAGACTACTGCTGGAAGCTTATCTCAAGATACCAGAACCCAAGGACGAAGAGGAACGGTTAAATCCATTGCGTACTAAACCCTTGCAGTGTATACAACGGGAGCTGTAGGTGAACCTCTTACCCTGTGCTGATCTCCTGTAGGTACTGAACACCGGCAACAGAGCAGCTGCATTTAGAGAAGGGAACCAGCATGGAACGTAACCAGTTTAGGACGAGACAGAAAGAAGAGCTTTATAGCCCTGTCAGTATACCGAGGGCCACTCTTTGTGCCTTCTCCTATATTAATATTACGCGTACACTCCCTGCCAAAGACATCCGTTTCCAGTAATAGACCTCTTTGCGATATATTTGGATTGTGAGACCTTGAACAAGTGAAGGTCGGCACAACAGACCTTGGTTTATCATATCAGAAAATGCACGAGTTTTGTTTCATGTATGAAAAGTTTAAGTTCTACTCAGCAGCGATATTCAAACCTTTTTATGTTGTGCTTCTCTGAACTGAGGGCAGCTCTTCATTGATTAAGGAGTAACTTTAACTTCTGATACAAAGGAAACAAAACGTTTATTCATTAACTGCTTGAATTAACTGAAATATTATGGGTTGTTGGTGCTGTTAACGATGATGGAGAAAAAAGAGCACATACAATAAGAAGAATCAAGTATCAACATATTAATAACATTACCAACCTCATTCATCTTTTCTTCAAATTCAGCCAAAGCCCTGGATCCTTTCTTTTTCTTTTCTAGTTGCTCTTTCACTTCTTCCCTACAAAAAAAAAAAAAAAAGATAGATTGCAATTCTCACAATTAAAAATATGTTCCTCTGTGTCTAACTTTTTTGTAGGTTTTTTTAAAGTTTAGCTTTGGTTGAACTTCCAACCGAAAGAAGAAATAAAGCATCTTAGATGTTAGGCCTCATACAGTAACCCAACCCTAATACCTTGGGTATGGTAGCTACATCCCTCTGAAAGATCTAAAGCTAACTTTGCAGTTAGGAAAATTGTTCTCTAATGTCTTGAGACGAGGTAAAATGTACTGAAGGTACAGTAAGTTGTTGATAATATTTCAAAATGATGATTTTGTTGGGCCAGTTAGACTGTGTTTTAAGAATATACCAGCAAAACATTTTTCTAGCAATTACTCTGTCTAAAAATTAAATACATCTTCAGGCTTTAGGTATTAGGATTTGTGAAAAATGATGAACATTTTCCTCTTCTGAGGAGCCATTGCCAAAATATTTAAAGACAATGAGAAATATGCATCTCAAAATGAAATGCCGTTGTTTTTGAAAGAGGAGACCGACTACATAATTAGGAAAGAAGACCCTGGCCAGAGACAAGGAATCTCTCAAGGCGTACTGCTGGGTATTCTGGGAAGGAGGTAGGCACCACTGTCCCCTCAGTAGGAGGAAACAAATCTTTTACTCCGAAGGTCAGACGAGTATTGCCACTCACCATGTTGGTCTTGGCCTGTTCAAGTAGTCTTGTATTGTTGGTCCCGAATTCTGGGCAGGACCTCGCGCTCTGGCCATAGCAATGGGATTCATATACGCCTTGAACACAAAACAACAAAAAGAAATATAAAATCCATGAGTTGAGCTATGACACCAAAATCTGTGCTTTTTGCTCTTCACACAAACTTTTTTTCGCTCACTGAAGAATAATTCTGACTTGCTGCTAAAAATATAAACTATTTAACTAAATCAAGTTGATTGAGTCTGGCAGAAAGAGTGAGGTGAGTGCTTTCTATTTGAGTTATATTGTGGCAGAAATAACTCACCCACAAAGAGAGCATGTTCCTTACAATAATTTCCCTCCCTGTACAATGACGTTGCAAACTGAGTACAAAGTGATGACTGTTGGAGTAGTCGTCTTTGACACACGGTACATGTAATTGAATTTCAGCTCTTACTCTCAGGGTCAACTCATCTTATGCCTCTAAAGTTCTGCTCAAAATTGTTGATAGCAGATTCAATAAATTCTGAAAAAAGTTTCTTGCTGTAACGCAAAAACAACCAAGCAGTGGTGCTCTGCTACAATTATGCATGTATGAGAATTCTGTGACTTAGGACTACTTAAAAGGAACAAAAAAAATTACGCCCCCCAAATACTGTTACGAGGTATTCCATCTTTCAAAGCCATACAACCTCTTCATATTTACTCTAAAATGTAATAGGTTATAAAAGATTAATCTGAAACTTAAAATCCACAATCTACCTCAGCAATTAATGGTAAAATTCTAATTGAGCAAACTATTATTCAGCTGGTGTTTTTCACGCCAATAATATTTTGCTCGTGTGAAAGGGAGGTACGTGCAGCCCCTTATCTCATGTGCTTTTCCCACCACGTCACCCCAGCACTTCACAATTTACTTCTGCAAAACATAACACCATTCTTACTGTCTGCATATTGGAGATGAGGAAAACAAATAATAACCTCAGTCAAAACAACAACTATGTATCTGGTGCAACGTTTTTAAAGAGTACAACCTTTTGCAGATTCCAAGTGAAGATCTGACCCTATGTGTAGCTCGTACACGTCCAACACTGCTTTCTAACAGGCCACAAAGTGAGCATTCAGAAACCTTGGCGCATAGCACTTGAAGATATGTATTCACATTATTAATTCTAGCACTTCAGTATACTAAAAATCTACAAATGAGTAAAAATTCTGCATTTGAATTCAGCTTTGAGTGGAAAGGGAGCTCCTTTAGCAATGCAGAAAAGCGGTATCTGAATGCTGTTTTCAGTAAACAAAGCTAGTATCAATGTACTAGACCCACTGGAGAAGACAACTGAAATTGTAATTCACCACTTGGCTGGCCTCAGTGAGCAAAATGAGTCAGTTCTTTTTGGTTACCATTCAAGAATTTCTGTCTGGAAGTTCTAGCTTCTTACATAATTATTATTCCTAAAAACAAGTTCTCCTGCTGGTCTTAAACCAAAAGCAGCTACACTCTCACCTGAGCTAACCTGAAACGAACAACCCCCCCACCTCCCAACACAAGCTCTCTCTGCTTGCAGAAGAGACCACAACTGTCGTACGTTGTTCCTCCAGCTCCTCAAGCTGAGCCCCCATAACGAGGTAGGAAGGTTCCTCTGCTCAACGGCACATAGCGACTGAATTCTGCTCCACCTTCCGCCATTAGGAAATCTGTGCATTAAACCATACTCTTTTAACTTCCAACAGGACTATTTACGAAGAATTACTTTGCCAGTAAACATTTTGTAGAAGTAGATAAGCTACTCTGCCAAACTGCACATCGCTAGCCAGAGAGGGCACAGAAACACGCTCTCAGAAAGGGAAGTGCTTGTCTGCACATTCATTTTCTTCTTTTAGCAGTTTGCTCAAGCAGTTATTAAAAACTATTTGTTTTATATATAGCTTTCATGCTCATGAAAAGTGTGAGGCATTTTCAGTGAGCTACAGCTCTCTGGGCAAGCAATAGAAACTGTTACTGCCTTGCAAAGTATCCTTCAGATGTGGAAAAAAAAAATATTATTTTCCAACTCCAAACAGTCAAAATGACAGTGTATTTAAGGAGGGACATGGGAAAGATGTTAACAGGTATAAAACTCTACAATCACAGAAGAGAAACAAAGGGTGCTATGCTATAACCTGTCCGTACTAGCAGCCATCATGGCAGATTGAACCTTGTATAGAAATACAAAGATCTGCTGGCATCAGCAGGTGCATCCCAACTTTCCTACTGAAAGAAAATTAAGATTAAATAAAGAGAAACCTAAATACACTCAAAAACATTACAAAAGGGCAATACATGTTAAGGATAGGTTGGGTCTCACCATCTAACATCATTATTTTGATGCCGCACTAAAGTAACCAAAGGCTCTCAGCTATCCGTTTGCATAATGTATGTGCCCATCATGCCTATTACATATTAACCCACCGAGGGAAGCAATGACTTGTCCCTGAAGGGATCTAAGTATGAACTCACAGCACTGCTAGAAAGAGACAAAGAAAGGGGATAAAAAAATAGAAGTACTATGACTTGGCTTTAACCATAAAACTCATTAATTGTAAATTGACAATGCCTAAATGAAACATGAGCATAAGTGAATGCCTAACCGGTATGAAAAAGTTTAAAGCAAAGTATAGGCAGGGATGAGCATGCTGACAGGATAAATTAGGCTCTGCAGGGAGCTGTGCCCAAGCATGTTTTTGGCCTCCTGACCTCTGGCTCACAGGTCAGCAGAGAATCACAGAATTGCCAGGGTTGGAAGGGACCTTAAAGATGACCTAGTTCCAATCCCTGCCATGGGCAGGGACATCCCCCACGAGATCAGGCTGCCCAGAGCCCCATCCAGCCTGGAATTAAAAACTCCCAGGGATGGGGCTGCCACCCCCTCTCTGGGCAACCTGTGCCAGGGTCTCCCCACCCTCATGGGGAAGAGCTTCTTCCTCACGTCCCATCTGAACCGACCCATCTCCAGCTTCAATCCATTCCCTCCAGTCCTGTCACTGCCCGACATCCTAACAAGCCCCTCAGTAGCCTTCTTGTAGCCCCCTTGAGGAAAGCCACAATAAGCTCTCCTCGGAGCCTTCTTTTCTGCAGAGTGAACAGCCCCAACTCTCTCAGTCTGTCACTTCACACCGCCCGGGTACAAGGGCCAAGTTCCAGGAAATGCGGCTCCAGTGACGAGCAGAGCTCCTGCTGCGAATGCTGCAACTCCCACCGGGAGCAGTTTATTTTTGTCAGGACCAGACCAGCATCCTACTCATCTTCAGCCCAGCCGACCACAGCGCTGCCCTCGGTCACGGCCGGTGCCGGCTTCC